TTATCAATAATATTTTAATTTTAATAATAATTATAATAATAATTTAATCTTAATTAAATATATTTAATTTTAATTTATCAATTTCTATTATTTTCTTCTTAAAATATATTTATAATAAAAAAAATAATATATTAAAAGTAAAAAACAAAATTTTATAATAGACGAATATTAATTAATTATAATAAATAAAATTTAAAGAAAGAAAAATTTCATATATGGCGCCAACTCTGTTTAGTTATAAAGATCACTATCAGATGGCGTGGCAATTTGGGCGCCTCTTGTATACACGGAGTTTCCAGGCCCTGAACTTAGTCGCGCGCGGTGAACGTTCCGTCCTACTGTCGAATCTTCGCGCGCGTCTCGTCGAGAGTGACAGTTCGAAAACTTCTTTTACACGGAAGACAAATGCTATCGTTCGACTCATAAATATCGTTACATTGTCATTAAATTAATGAAATGCGAACAACTTTTGCGAGTACTTCAAGAAAACATTGTGTTCTCATTACTGATTCAATAAATATCGTAGCAATCTCGAGTGAAATGCATTCGCGTGGAGGCTAAACAGCGGTGACTCGTTGCGTTGGAACGACACGGACTTCACGGTATACCGTCCAGTCACGTGGCTTCGAGAATAAAACACGAAGTATAATATCAACGGTATGTCGCGATGTCAACAACCGGACAGGCAAAACAGTGCCTAAACGTGACATTGGTGCGTGCCTGGTGTGATAAAAGACGACGAACATTGTTTACAGTGTCTTATGTCATGATTGGTCTAGCAATTTATTGTTCCATTAAAACGTTCCATGAAAAGTGACAAAGAACCATAAATACAATAATATTAACAAGGATTTTCACAAGTAATATCATATTCTTATATGTGTTGTATATATATATTACATATAGATATCGAACAAGAATTCAATGAAACAATTGTGCGATCGACGCGAAGCATGGTGTATTGTTGAAAATTAATCGGCACTAGTGTGATTATCGGACAAAAGCAAGCGTGGTACAGAAGTGTTGACGCGCGAATATATTCCAAATGCGTCTTGACCGGAAGTTGAGGATCGTCGCATTGGCAGGGTGGCAGAGGATGCCCGGCTCGAGGGCAGCGGCGGGAGACGAGGTTGTAGCAGTAGCAGTAGCGTGCGTCAGGCGCTTCGGTAGCAGAGGTTCTCACTGAGCTGGCTTACCCTGCGGTGGATTTAGGGGGCTGTATGGAGGCCGGGGGGCTCCTGCCCCGCCAGCCCCCGCAAGGCCCCCCCGGCACCGCGCC